TCTCTCTCTCTCTCTCTCTCTCTCTCTCTCTCTCTCTCTCTCTCTCTCTCTCTCACACACACACACACACACACACACACACACACACACAAATAGACACATTAATATACAAAAGAGGGTAACCCGCTTGGACTATTCTACAAATTCCCTGTTGGCCTGGTGTTCTGCCTCGTCTGAACTCGTCGCCAAGTACCCTAATGCCCTGGTTAGCTGACCTGTCTGACGAAATGACGGGGGGAAGAAGAGGAGAAAGAAAGAAATGGAAGTGAAAGGAAGACGCGATATAGCCGAAAGGCGTAAGAAGCGATATTTATATCCTGTGGAGAAATTACTCGTTTTTCGAACTGTTATCTTTTATACAAGACGAGTTCCCACCTCGTGCTATTGCCGCTGCAGCTGCTGCTGCTGTTAATCAACGACGCCACCGCGTAGACCTGATAACACACCAAACCGCGCAATGACAAACACAAGACACGTTGGACGTCGTTAGGAGATCATTCACCACAAAAATGACAAAGGAATCGGAAGATTAATATCGTATTTCCCCGAACACAACGCACACTGATAACGACTGTATACAACCTCTATTTCCTGTCCGATGCAGCCAAAATGAAGGTGCGCTGTGTTCGGGGGAAGACGGGGGAGATAATTAGGAGATGATTACGCCAGCCAATAAGAAGAACGGAGAGGAGAGGGGAGGGAAAAGAAAGGCCTCCGGCCTCGGCGAGGGAAAACGGTGGTCATCTTAGAACAGGTGAGTGATAGCAGGGAAGAATCACTAAGGGCGTCTCGGCACTACTCACCAAAATGTCAATAAGATAAAAACTAAGGCTGTCGTATCTTTCCACGCTCCTAAGAAAGATACATTCTCCATTTCCCAAATTTGCTGAGAAACGCGGCGAGGCCCATAAAACAAGGAGCTCTGAAGATAGGCAGCCCAGCATGCGGGGAGAACAGCAGAAGACAGAGGAAGATGAATGTGCATCTGTGCGTGAGCCAGACTTTGTCTGTGTGCTCTACATTCGCTAAATACAACTCCACAAAAGAAGGGTCATTGGGACAGACTCTTCCGTTGCACTTTCACCGACTATGCATGTCTGTGTATGTGTGTGTGTGTCTCATGTTCGCTATACACGACTCCACAAAACGAGTACGACTGTGCCAGACTGTTTCGCCGGCCTTCCACCGCTCACCCGGTGTTTGAGTGTGTGTGGATGTGTGTGGGTGTGCTTGGTTGTGTTTGGGTGTGTGTGGGTGTGTTTGGGTGTGGGTGGGTGTGAGGTGTGTGTGGGTGTGTTTGGGTGTGTGGGTGTGTTTGGGTGTGTGTGGGTGTGTGTGGGTGTGTTCTCATGTTCGCTATACACAACTCCAGAAGGAAAAAAAAAGCATGACTGCGTCAGACTGTTTCGTCGTGCGTGTGAATGTGCGTGTCTGTACATGCGTGTGTGCGTGAGAGAGAGAGAGAGAGAGAGAAAGACGAGAAAGACAGCACGCAGGGAGTAAGAAGGGGAGGGAGGGGAGAGAGAGAGAGAGAGAGAGATGCAAGTGTCGAGAAGGAATTCATAGTGAAGGAAGTGCACCTGAAAACTTCGTTCCCGAGCATCGCCGTTACTTGCTTCCGCCCTTAGTTGCTGCTGCGGTTGGGCCGCACTAAGCGCTAAGAACCCTGACGACGACGACACCGCCTGCACCGCCATAACCTGCATTTTTGCCACGTCCGCAAAGTGGCGGCCACTTCCACCCACCCACTCCTCGCTCGACCCACTCCTCGCGGGACACGACAATTTGGCGTTTCCTACTACCGTATTGCCAACGCCAACGAGCGAGTGAGAATGAGAAAGCGTGCGCAGTGCGTCGGTTCACCAGGGAATGTTCAATCGATTCTAAGCTTTCAGGGTGGAGAAATGAAATGAAAGGGCGGGGCCGGGATAGGACCCGCCCTCCGCGCCACTAGAGCAGGGCAGCGCGCCCACAAAATTTTCGTTCGCGCTGTTGCACAGACTGATACCACGCGGGGCGTGGGGGCGCAGCCGGCGGCGGACCGGCGATCGGCCTTCGACAGCCTCCCTGCACTTTTGTTGTCGACCCGCCAAAATTCCATGCTCCACCGCTGTTGTTTTTCAATAATTATTACAATTTTAATTTTATTTATTAGTTGGGTCGCGCGACTTGACCTGTATAATGGACTTTGAGTTGAGCAAAAAAAAAAAAAAAAAAAAAAAAAACCGAAATTCCCAAAGTCCAATCCACTCGGCGAGAGGCAGAGGCAGTAGTGAGTTTTTTTTTTTTCACGGAGTTTCTCAAATTAATTACCAATCATAGAACAGAGGCCGGGAACCTCACAATACAACCCGGCAGCGTCAGCCGGTTTAGCTTATGATGATCAGAGTAAACGTGGTACGGTGAAGAAATCACAATCTGTGTACAGCATAGCAGAAGTCTATCTCCTTTGCTAACCTACTGCTACTGCAAACAAATTATAGCCTAAAACTACTCCCTATCTACGGCACAAAACGGCCGAGAGGAACGCCTGTTCCATGTGGGGAGCCGGACACTCTCCTTCCCACTCCGGCCTGGCTGCGACCACCAACAGGAACCGAGTGCAGCTGGTTCATCCAGAAAAGACTAAACAGAGAAAGAAGTGGGGGGTGGCAGGAGATGAGGACCTAAGTAAAAAGCCAAGGAGAAAAAACTAGCTTCCCAGAGATAGTGACTGCCAACAAATTGTTTTCACGAGCCCAGGTGACCAGGAACCAGTCTGCCTCTTTGTGTGCGGGCCCTGTCTGCGTTTTTTATCCCATCGACTCTTATCATGGTTTGGACCCATGCCTTGATTTTTGCAGTGAGCGCGTCGTCGCTCGTCCATTGCTGCTGGAAAAGGACATTGTTTCCGTCTTCCCAGATGACCCAGATGAGAATTGACCGAATCGCCTGTGCCACATAGCCCCTGCCCTTGCATTTGAACCATGTGATGGGAATGTGCCCATGCAGTGCCCAGGTCTCATCCCAAGGTAGCAGCATGCCGACAAATCTGAACCAATGTTGTTCCCACCACTGCCAGATTCTCTTTGAGGCAGGCCATGTCCAGAAAAGATGCTGCAGTGTTTCTTCGTTCCTGCCTTCACAACGTTTACATTTTGTATCCATGTCCATGCCCCTCTCAAAGAGCCAGGCGGCAGTGGGGATGGCGGCATGCGAGAGTAGCCACAGGATGCCTGCAAACTTTCGGGATGGTACAGCTGTGAGCTGGGCCCACATGGTTCTCATGTCCTGTCGTGTGATGGTGTGACGAACCAATTTCTGTTCCTCGCGATTTTCTGCGCGATGATACGAGGGGTCTTTTGCATCGGGGAAAGTTGGGCCAATTACGGGAGGTGGGATCGACGGGAAAATTGCATCGGTGTCCTCGTTTCTTCTTCTTTTTACGTCGCTGCTTTTCGGATTGCTGGGACCAGGGCTGGGTAAGTCCCGGGATGGACGGTTGAAGTAGCGTGCCGCCGCAAGCGCGCTTAATAATGGTTGACGTAGCTTCTTTTTGTTCTGCTGTCGGGTTTTCGGCGCGATGATCGTGCGGGAGTTTTTGCTTCTTTTTTTAAATTTCTTTTCAAATAGTGTCGAGCCTTCGACGACTCTCATAATTTTGGATTTTCTTTTCGGAATTTGTGCTTTATTGAAGTTCTTTTTGCACCTTCGGATTAGATAGGAATTTAGGAAATTAGGAAGCCGGAATTTCTTTTGCCGCGCGATGCTCTTTACTTGGACACTTCTTTTTGCGGCCACAATGGAGCTCTAATTAGTCGGCGCCCTTAATCTTGTGTGCAACTGTAATTTTTGGGTGGGCGTCATTTTAACTGTATCTTTCTTCTTGAGCTTCATCTTTCTCGCCCACTTTTTTCCTTCTGCTGTGTCTAATTTGTCCGCGGGCTGCATGATCGGATTGATGCGTGGAGAGTGGCTACATCCCCCACGCCGCGGTCTGGCCATGCAGAACGTAGGCACTCTCTTCCCTTCTCTCCTTTCAAGTCCTTGCAATTTTTTTCGCGCGTGCGTGCACGGTATAAATTTCAGCATCGCGATTAGATAGCTCTCTCAGAAAGTTGTTGGAAGCTCGGGGTAGCTCGATCAGTGAGGGTCGGCTCACAGGCGAAGTAAGAGGTGAGTTGACGTGGAAGTTGGACGACCCGACGGGCTGGGGGTGAATGTGCGGGGTTGACACGTAGGCTACGACGGACTGTAGCTCACTGGCGAACCTGACGGGCACAGAAGGACTAAGCGGGGTGACCATTCGTGGGTTGATGCATGACGACGGACTGACCGCATGAGAGAGAGAAAGAGAGAGAGGGAGGGAGAGAGAGAGAGAGAGAGAGAGAGAGAGAGAGAGAGAGAGAGAGAGAGAGAGAGAGAGAGAGAGAGAGAGAGAGAGAGAGAGAGAGAGAGAGAGAGCTGGGATGGACGGATATGGGATTGTAATTTTTTTTTTCTTTTTCAGTCTTGTATATAAGTTTTGATTTCGGCTTCGGGCGATCCGCCCTTATTTTTCCTTTGACATCCTTATCTCGGCTTCAGCCCTTGTCTGATGCTTTACTCCAGTTTCGACCCTTCCTCCTTTTTTTTGTGTGTGCTTGATGGGATGGATGAGTTTTGGGTATACGGTACAGAATGTGAATTGACTCTGTTTTTTGTTTGGACCCTTCACGTATAGTTTCTGAGGATCCTACACAGACATATGTTGGTTTCCTGTGGATTATCCATTGTATATTGAAATCGGTTACTTTAGAGGCGAAGAAATGTCATTAGACATATGTAATGATATAGGTTCTGAGATAATTCCCACAAATGATGCGATGGTTGAAGGACATGCTCGTCAATTGCTCATCATTCTCGCTCGTCACGAGATCTGTCCAGTGTCCAATAAAAGGAGTTAATGATGTTGCGGTGTCTGATGTATGCGCAAATCATGATGCGATGTCACTTTGCATGATCAGGAATTGTTTGTTGATTACGAGATTGTTGAATGATTGGATTATTGGGTGTTTGTCTCCGCCACATCACGATCTTGTATAGGACTTGAACCTCATTTTTGCATGATAGTCGGGCGACGGATATGCGTACAATCGAACCCCTCGTATGCGCACGTGTAAACGTGATCTACAGCCTACACGTGTCCACACGAGATCGGACCGCGATCACGGGATGGATTTGGCACTTTTTGTATCGGGATGGGTACATAAATTCCCCTTTGTGAGAACTTGAGCCAGTGCGGATTTCCGCGACCATATCCGGAATTCTCTTGTCAGTCGGAGAACGATTGGGTGTGTACAGAGGATTTCCACTGTGCCACTACTAGCGATCCGCGGGGTCCTGACTATCCGGAGGCCTGTCACACGCACTATTTCACCTCCCCCGGCTTTGTTGTCATCTCCACTAACATCCCTCCCTTCCGACTCCTTCTCCCGTATCACCGACTTACAGTATTACCATGGGAATCCATCGCCCCGTACTGGCCCCGGGCGTTGCGTAGAAACTCCCGACAACGCGACGACCACCGAACCTTCGGAATTACCGATCGTAACCGTGACGCACAGCAGCAACTGCCATGCGTTCACACCAGGAGGTTCAACTCACAGAGATCGCAATCCCCACGAACGGACCTCTCCTAGAGGCCCTAAGCCATCGAAATAGACACGGGTGGATCGGACGGCCCAAGATGCACCGCGCATGCCATCTGCCTTATGTTGCACGACATCTGCAGCCTTTGGCTCGGGAATAACCAGTCCCTTAGCCTCCCAAACGAACCCGTCCCTTATTGCACCTATGCCCCTGAACCTTGCCACATGAGATCTCGGTTCCGACCTGGTACTCCACCCCAAAATCCCAGAAATCCTTGGCACACTCCCTTCTCAAACTTCCAGGCCCATATCCCACTTCGATCAGGAAGTCGCATCGAGCGTGAGGTTGGTATCGGAGCTGACATGTGGCAGGATTATAGGATTCGTAGGACGGTAGTTGAGATAAAATAGTTAGCACACCCAATCGCATCCAGAAAATCATCAATCCGGGGAAGGGGATACACATCTTTAATCGTGATATCATTCAGTTTGCGATAATCGATACAGATGTGAATCGACCCATTCTTCTTCGGTACTAGCACTACCGGGAACGACCATGGACTGGGTAGCAGGTTCGATCCATCCACTAGCTTCAAACTCTCGAATCCGCTGGAGGGTTGTCTTCCGTTCCACCAGGGAATACCTGTAGGGTTTACAGTGGATGGGAGGATGATTTCCGGTCTGAATTTCGTGTTGTATTACTAATGATAATCCAATGTCTGTGTCCGTCACGCTAATCGCTCCCTGGTATTCTTTTAGAATGTCCACGATTAGGTGATGGATCTCATCAGGTACGTAGTGGGGCACGTGGAACTCGTACAACTGGTTCCATATCTGGCGGTGCGGAGATAAACGAGTTATATGATCGCCAAGAAAACACCGTAGCCACCATCTGCGCATCTTTTTCTCGAATCGCCATGTGTTCTTCCAGGGTTATGCCGTCCCAAATATCCTGTCACGGTACTGGTTTCGTCGCGATTTTAACTCCAAGCCCGTTAAATCCAGTTTCGAGGCGCGCAAGGGGTTCCAAAGAATTGGCCTCTGCCCCTAGGTGTAACAATCGTATTTCTTTCGCGGGTGGCAAAAGAGAACGTGGCAGGGTCATAATGTCACAAAAGTGTCTCTTGTCGTTGTATCGTGCAAGAAGAGGGGAGATGCCTTCGTACAGGGTTCGAGGGGGTTCCAAAGAATTGACCATCCGCGATATTTGTACGAGAGGTTCACCCAGAATCCTTGCTTGCGTTCTTTGTAAGTTTCGATCGATTAAGCTC